GTATTCTAGTACCGTTTTGACGCTCATAATTCACAGCTAGTGAATTCCGAAATACTGAAAACCTGCATCATAGTGTTTCAGTAGGTACTGTTGTAACGATTTTAATGTCACGCCACATAGCGATGCGTTCATTTTGGCCGTGACATATTGTCTGAGTTAGGCAAACGTTGAATGAAAACGTTGTTTTATGCAATCAGAATTTTTCAGATAACATCGTATGATAAATTCGGATGAGTTGATCAATTTCTGAATTGCAGAGCATTCCCAAGCAACGCGGTCACGTTTTTCGCAGTTGAATGGACGTACCGTTTGATGCTTGATCTGCAAGAGTTTCATGAGAAGCGTTTAAAAAAACCGCAACAACAACCAAACAGGTTCGTGGCATCGAAATTCGACCGTGACCTCATCATTTTGAACTGAATTTATCCACCCATCCATCCATTCATAAGTAAGTAAGTTTTTGAATTTTTAATGCGAACTCACGTCAATTTTTGACGTGAGCTTTTCACGTAGACCACTCGCTCCTATCACGCTATTTCGTCGAACTTCCTTCAAATACCTGTCCCTATCGCTTCATTCATCTTTACTATCCGCTGTTTTATCAGAGGTTCTGTTTCATTTATTTTTTACTTATCAGCAATGTTTTGGTGTAAAACGTTTGACTTGGTTGAATAACATGAAAATATGATGTTTGTTGCATGAATTTAAACTTCCACTTCCCATGTTTAACTTGCTGCAATCTTATTCAATGAACAGAGTCGACTTTGATTTTATGGGTGTTGATTAATTTCAATGAAATTGCTGTTGATATCGAATATTTTCCAATTTATGGCATTAAAAAACTTCGTCAAAACTGTCATCGAGTATAGTGGATTGTCCACAACCGGTTGTTGTAATGTTACACCATTTCGAACATCTCCGAGTTTATGTGAAACGTTCAGCTTGGCGATTCGAACAGCGAATACGCTCCAACTGTAAACCACCGTCTTTACACTAAGCATAACCATGATTCCTTCTGCTTTTCAACTAATGATTTCTTCTCAACTCACCTATTGTGCAGTCCATCCATATCTTTTTGGTTTCATAGTTGTTAGCGTTTCAGTCAAATAAGAAAATTTTGTTTCGTGATTATCGAATGATTATCGAAAACAGTGAACATTTGTGATAATTAATCATCATTTACGAGGTCATCGAGAGTGAGAACTTAAAACCGCACGAGGTTGTGTCGATTCCACGGTTGTGCATGACTATTTGTGCAAAAGCAAGGAAATGTTGTTGTGCGCACTTCAAATTGTACCATTTCCAGGCAGTCATCTCTTGCAGTCGATCATCATTTATGGGACAAAAACTTCTTCATTTCACCAGAAGCTGGAAGTACGTTCATAGAACCGATGCTGCACTGGAATCGATTCATTTGATGACAATCATTCGAATCCAATCCAATCACTGCAGACATGTTCGTTGATTGAAAGTGAAAGCAACGAATATGCATGGTGAAGTAATGTGGGCCATGATGGAATCAGTAATGTACGCGAAGAAATCTTACTGAGGGAATTTTAAAAGTTTCTGTTTCAATGGAGAAGTATACGACTTAAACAATAAAATCTTCACCAAAAACAGTTATCAATAATAATTTACCAAATTTTTGGGGCAAACATTCAGCCTTCATTTTGCGCTTTCACTCTTGTGCCACTACTGGAATCATGAATTTTCTTGATGAATGAGTACTGAATGGAGATAAACATCAACTCATATCAGTGCATTCGAACTCATGCCCGGCAATTGCTAACCGTCGGCATTTGAGCAGAATTGAAACGAGACAATAGCTCACTGCAGAGACACGCTGAACTTAATAGATAGACGAGTACGTGTGTAAATAGTTTTACATTGATGCACTCTGTATTATAGAAATGTATTTGTATGATAATAACTTTATTCGCTTGTGTCTATGCATATCAGTGAATAAATTATTGCAGTTTGGACAAAACTTACAAAAAAAATGTAATTATAAGAAGTCATGAGAGAATGAAAAACAGTCAAAAATTCATTTCCGTAGAGATGTTTACTGCATTTCAACGGAACTGATATTTTGATCGCTTTGCAAGATGGTGATCAAACAAAAAGACGGTGATCTATTTAGTCAGGTGATCATCATTTCAGTTGAAGTACATTTGGTGATATCTGAAACAAGAAATGAATGCGTTAATCGTTATTTCAAAACCACCATGCAATCTTCTTAAACTGCAACTGATAGATTCGTCGCAGAGTGCTGAATGATGAATTGATTAATTCAATAAATAATCGAAGCAGTGCCATTGTAATGTTATTGAATCATCTTAAAATGATATGATGTAATGACTGAATTGATTAATCGTAAGTCAAAATACGCGTTAATACAAGTTTTTGATAGGACGTAATGCAAAACAATTTGTTCCTCTTTGGTTTGTTTTGAGGTTGGTTTATATCAATGACGAAGTGAAGATGTCACTGACAAATTGATTTGATCGTTGACGAACTGTAGCCTTTTCACGTGATTGATCGACGCACAAGTATCACTGATCATGGCCATTGATCATATTGGTCAAATGAATGCGAATTTTCGCTTTTATCTGAAATTAAGTGATGTTTCCAGATAACGAAATCGTTNAACCTTCTTTTAAATTCAACAAGAATGTAACGAGCGGCCAGAGAACTTACTTCTTACGTAAAGTTGTAGCAATATTGAGTCTGAAAACGGAATTTTCACTTTTCATACACTGAAATTTGGATAGATGTTTCATTCTATCGTTCATAGAAATATGAGTGCATCAAAATTGTGAATTGCGTCTTGTCAACGCAATAAATGAATTATGTATGGCAGAGAGTTGATTAGGCTTATGGCAAGTTCAAGAGCAATTCGAGTACAATTTAGGTTTAACCGTAGAAATTACTTTCCGATGGAAATGTTTCCGATGGGTGCGTAGAAAGTACCAGAATTACCGTGCTCAAAGCCTTGTGCACAACAGAAACTGTAGTTGTAGTGCATTGCATAATGACAAAATGAGCGCTTAGGACAGAATTTTCCACCGGGATTATCGAAGCAACGAGCCGTTAGTAGTGGCATATTATCACTGTCAACCACAACACCGAGTCTACGAAGAGCACACGTCAACTGGACGTATTTCACTGTACCGGCTGCAAAAAACCAACCAAATTCAGCTCTTATTCTCAGCGTTCGGACATTCTATGATATGGTTCAGGCGAGAATATGTTCAGCATTTTGATGAGAGCATAAACTTACGAGTCATATTGTCATCCATGCACGATTGTAGATCCGCATAATTTTCCGAGATATTCATCGATTCACAACCATATCGAAATCCATAGCATAAGTTGCTGTCGTGCGAGTAATAATACTAAAAGCATTAAACTGACCATAGTTGGTAAGATATTGCAACTTAAATTTACTCGAATGAACCAGAATTAAATCAGAAGTTGGACGTTTTTTGGAATCAGTCATTGAGATGCAATCAACGGTTGAAACGCATTATTATTATACTTCAACTTTTCTGGTATCGACTCTGGACTAGTGAACATTAAAATTGATCTCTAAACTACTGCACACAAACTTCTAAAGTTATTCGAGCTGATTTTGTTCGAAGGATTCAACCTGAACAAATGATTCAAATTAGGAATGTTTTGAGATTAAACGTGCGAGAAATTGAACGTTGCTTTCCGATGTGTATCTACGATTGGATGTATTGTAAACAGTCGTTGAATGATTCAAAACAAAGCAGTCATAAATCATTTACTTTAATTGGCTGTAAAGAATAATCTTTGCCACCGCAATAACCATCAAATGCTACAATAACTGAAAACAGAGTTATCACACGTGAC